CGCATGGTACTATTACAGACACTGCCTGCGCACCACCCAAGGGTGGTCCACGGTGTTGTGTGTTGGTTATGGGTTTCACAGGGTTTGCTTGGGGTGTTGGTCTCGGGTGTTCTGATGTTCTCCCCAGTCTGGCATATCATTCCATTTCCGGTAGTTGCTCATACGGTAGAGTCTTGGATTACATGTTACAAGGTCACGAGTTCAAGCTTGGTTCGGTCCTTGGGGTGGGGTCCTTGTCCAGCTGGCCCATTCTCTCCTCGATACATGATTCACAGAGTACGCATAGCTTTCGGGCATACACATATAGCTTGCGAATTATATATCGCTTATACACAAGTTTCCCCACATGATACTGTCTACACAGATTCACAGAATATATACACAAAAAAAAAAACAGGCTGGGGAGATAGTCACTGGTGGGGTCTAGTGCCTGCAGTAGGTTCCGGTAGGTTGGATAGGGTGCCATTGGGTGCAGTTCCTACTGACATTTGGATAGAACTGTCTGGTGGCTATATGTATATGGGGCCTGTAGTTCATTGTCTGGGCCTGGCGTCCGAAGTTCCCGTTTGACAAGGTTCGTCCTGCTGCCTATCACTGCTGTTCGGTCCAAGTTGCCTGCCCGTTGGTAGGGCGATGGTCCTGAGTGCTGGTCACACTGAGGTAGAATAGTGGGATAGGGGGTGCACTAGGAGTATTGACGTGAGGATGGGTTGGGAGGTGGTCTCAAAATCCAGGACACCCACGGCTCACAGTTCCAGGTGATCACTGTGCACACACTGACTGGCCTCTACAACACCCTGGACTTTTTATAAGAAAAAAAAAAGAAATGGTTTAAAGTTTGAAATTTAAGCCGCCAGTACTTTTCTCCTATATCGCCTGCCGGTCCCTCCTCGCAACTTTCGGAGTCCCGAACGCAGCATGGGCTGTCAGTGAAATTTATCAACGCCCGCCCGGCCACAAAAGTTGCCTTGGTAAACCGCCGAGTATTTGTTTTTCAAGCGGAAAGTATTCATCACTCTCACTATTGTTGTAGGCTACCCGATGTCTGACCGGATGTCTGGACCCGGATGTTGTTGAGTGCAAAGCAAATCAAAGCGTGTTGACGTCAAAAGACAAAAACAGATATGAACGCAAAGCACACACAAAGCATATGTCGGCGTCCAAAGATGCCAACAAAGTACACAAGTCAAACTCAAACCGAACTGTATCAAAATTGAAAAAATTGACACAAGTCAGGAATGGCGTCCTCGACGCCGAGTTTCGGCAACAGCCACGTTGCCTTCATCAGGGGGTTCTCCACCGTCATCTCCCTCAAGCCTCAACCATCGTTCCTCAAGCCCACTTCCGTACTGTACACTACTAACACTCCGGACTGTCAGTAACATTCAGTTCCGTTAGTCCTGAAAAGAGGTCTACTGTCTGTACCTTTTCACTTTAGTACCTGACGACCGTAATCACGTTTCCCGAAAAGTGTCGAAAAACACGCCACTACAAACTGAAACCGGTACCTGTCCCAAGGGTCCCATCATTGGGAGACTTGCACAGGTGCYGTCTTGCCGAAAATGGACAARCAATTTTTTTTTCAGACCGCAAAATCCAGATCAGTCCCCAGTATTCCAGTACCTCCGTACATCCGCTTAACTCTAAGTGCCTACTTACAGCGAAAACCACAGAACGTCGGCTCGAATCCCGCATCTATTACTACTTAAGCTACCACAAACATTACAGAGCAGCAAATTCTACCAACAGCTACATTCCGACATGGGAACCCAGTCCAAACCTTGCAAAGCAACAAAATCCTACCAACAGCTACTTCAGACATGGAACCCTGTCCAAACATTCCAGAGCAACAAGTCTACCAACAGCTACTTCCGACATGGGAACCCAGTCCAAACCTTGCAAAGCAACAAAAATTATACCAACAGCTACTTCAGACATGGAACCCTGTCCGATTCTTCAATCAACAATGTGACACACAGTCATTACAATGAATAACAGGGAAATACCAGGAAACAGGGCCTACCAATAACTACTTCCGAGATGAGAGACTGTTTAGTCATTCCGACTACACAAAGAAGCAAAGCTTGTTTACACGTAAGGGTACACTCTGATTCCTATCCAGCAAGCAGCCAGCACCGTAACGTTTTGGCTCGGACCCCTGTCCAATCAGTTAGTCTGGGTCACATGGACAAAGAAGTTTCACAGTTAGGTGTCATATTTCATCTTTTCCAACAGCAAAACTCTTCAGCACCCTCGCAAAACATTCTGGGGGGAAACCCTTCAAACGCAGTTCCCTCTTGATGGTCAGGACACGCCTCGGGATTTCTGATCTAATCGCTGTATTCTGGTTAATCCGATGCAGGTGGCTCCCGATAATCGCTGTTTTCTGTTGCTTACTTCCCCATGATGAGTAGGATTGCCCATTCTGGAACACAAGCCGTTCCTCAGTCCAAACTACCTCTTCATTCTTTGACAGTTGCACGCAGCCCAAGTAGGGGAACAGTGAACTGGTCCGAATTTCGCACCCCAAAAACTGCAGGATGCCATCGCCTGTGTCAGTGCGTTTCAGTGTGAGGTTAGCCGGGTAGCAGCTCTCAAATTTCTGAATGATCTCCTTTCGAGTGTTTTCGGTCAAAGATGCAGTCATGAGGATGACGTCATCGATCAACCTGACACCGAATACCTGCTTCCTATAGTGGCCAATGCTGGCAAGGAACCTACATTCCGCCAGTGTGCACATGATGCAAGCAAGGGGCGGGCTAGTGCGGATCCCGATTACCTGCGTAAGCAGAACCCCTGTTGCGTATGTGTAAGTGTGCCTCTGTTCGAGCTGAATGAACTTCACAATATCACATAGTTCCAAATGGCGCCAATGGTCTGCGCCTGTGGTCAACTCAAATGATGCACCCTTACCCCTCGTATTCACTCGGACAAAGCTCCTTCCTTTCGCTTGACACGATCCACTGAACTGACTCCAGGATATCGGCATGCGGGAGACGACTAAACATCTCGACGCTGATTCAACCTTTCCCATATGAGATAGCGCGTCAATCTTCTTATTGGTCCTCTGCAATCGGTCGGACATGTGTGATACTGCCTGAAGGTTGAAGTGGCAGTTTGCTGGTAACTGGAAGAGTAAGTGATTGAGTGCTTTTGCCACAGCCTTACCCGTACGAACCATTGGTTCGTTAAATGTTGGGCAAATTGGTCTAAATTGATTCGTATCCTTGTGCTTCGGAAGAACATAGGGTACGCCAAACCTACCCTTCTGGTCCCAGCGAGAGAACTTTTTCAGTCCACTGCTAAGGACATCTTCCTTTACCTCCCTCATGATCTCTTCCGCTGGGGATTGGACCACCCTGTACCTAGGACTTGTTACGAACGTGCTCATCATAGCTGAATAGTATACATGCGGACACATCACCAAGGTATCTCCCGGATTCCTATCGAGCGGAGTGAGAACAAAGCCATCAAGCTCATCCCGGCTTTCTATTGAGCGGAGTGAGAACAAAGCCATCAAGCTCATCCTTGACACGAGTTACATCTGACAATGATAGCTTATCTTCCTTCAAGCATGTCGGCATCAAACATTCAGATAGGCAACTTACGAGAATCAATGGGCATTGCCCTTTCAAATTGTACCAGCACTGAAACCCCGCTGTGACTTCCTTCTGCAAAACCTCAATACGATTACTCACTTCTGCGCGTGGAATGTCATGCGCATTGGCTACTAATCGGTGGTGTGGTTCACCCTGGCTTCAACGAAAGCATACGTGCCCTCCTTCTCTTGGGTAGGTCGTCCCTGCGCAGCAGCAGGTAAGAACTTCGCGAGCGGCAAAGGCTCGCTGATTGTGAAGAATTCCACCTACCGTCTGGTTCTTAACCCAAACGATTCGGACTTTCTTCCGCGCACGCTTTCGAAAGCACAGTGGCAAGTCACACTCCATGATCCCGTCATTCACTACCTTCCTAAGTTCACCAAGCCGAATCCTATCATGGAACTTGCGGATAATAAGGTCGGCGGACATACTTAGTCCAAAACGGTCACGGATCATACGAGATAACAGGTGCCTCAAGAACTTACGTGTAGATTTCCTTCTCAAGTCCTTGATAACATTGTACAAACGTATCGTTGCTTTCAAACCCCAGGAATACAAATCACGTAGCTTACCTGGGTTCTTCAGAATTCCCACCAGGAGGTGCTTAAGAAAGCCAGCCTTCGATTTCCAACACCGAAGGTAATCGATACAGATAGTGCCTTCTTCTTCAAATACCGACTTACATTTCTTCAGTGGTAATAACCCGTCTGCTGTTTTCACCAAAGACTCCCTGAATCTTCTACGAAACTTCCTCCGCCCACAAGCCCAGGTATTCCCACCGCTGGATTCGATCGACAATTTACGTGTCCCTCCCTGGTCCTTCGCAGTCGACAGTTTCAGGGGATCCAGTGTCCAAACATCAGCCGCTCGGAATTGAATTGGTCGGACATTACGACAATCCCGAGGGATTCCGTCTCTACACAGCTTCCCACGCTCCTTCTTCCCCTTTCTCCCCTTACTCCCTCCACTGCTCTTCTTACTACATCCATTTGTATTAAAAAAAGGAGACCATTGTTTGATATATACATCCTCCAGCCTCAATAGTTCGTCTGCTCCAACACAATCCACTGGTAGTACTACATAGTTACCATGCCCGAAAGTGCGCAGCCACCGATGAAAGTGGGTTTGCTTCCTTTTTCTGCACGCAGCCACGTGTTCTCGCCAGCGGATATCTACACTGCGTACCGTCTTGCCAACGTATTGAAGCTTATAGTATGGGGAGATAGCAACATATACACAACCTTTCTGGTTCAGGAATTCTCGTCTGTGCAATTCGAGTAATCTTCGCCAACAATCAACCAGCTTACGATTCCACTTAATCTCACCTCTTAAGTGATAATAAGAGCACACATAATCGGAGGAGTTCTTTCGCAGTCGAATCCACGGTCTTCAGATGACAACGATACTTTGTCAGCTTTCGTACTGTATGCCAAATCTCGTCAGTTCCACATCACACTTCCGTCTTGTGCGCCTCATCCTCCACAGTTGTAGAATCTTCATCCTCTTGGCCGAACATCTCGGCCAGGTCGACGGGCTCGACCTCTCCAAACGCCTTACGAGTTCTATGACTCGCTATGTCGAATATCGCGTCTACCTTGCCGTTGTAGGCGATATTCTCTGCCTTGCATATCGCTTGCAGTTCTTGCGCATCGAGTCCACGGAGCTCTTCCATAGCTTGGTTCCGAAATCGAAGCTTGGCCACCGTGCCTGGTTGGCCAGGGCTCCGCTTACACTTGTCCACGTATGGTGAAAGTTTAGTCTTCACCTTGGTCTTCGATCGCGTTACACGCACTGATGCCCCAGGTGCCTTCGTCTTCGTCGATCTTGGTGTGCGTTTGACCGGCGTCAGCATCGGAGGACTATCGTCGAATTTCGGCTCCGGACCTCTCTTCCGTTTTTCATTGATGGTCAATCTTCCAGTTTTGGTTCGAATATCCTTCGTAGTGCTCTCACGGCCCTCCTCTTCCGATTTCGTCTCATGTTCGGAGACATATACTACCTGTTTCTTGCCTTTGGCTTTACGGGCCAATGACATACCAGGTATCAAGTTCGCTTCCATACGATCGAAGAATTCGCTTGTCTTGATTGCAACTTGTATTTCCACCTGCTTGTCAATCTCGACTGCACGCTCCTCGTCCTTGCATAGTTTCCCCAGCCTCTTACGTTCTTTCTTCTCTCGTTCAGTCTTCTCGGCGGCCTTCCGCTGTGCTTCGGCCTCGGCTTCCTTAGCGACCCGTTCCTCTTCCGCCTTCTTAGCCATCTCGGTCTGTACAAACTCCGAGACGGACGCTAGTCCTCTCCCGAGCTCTTCAATTTGCCGCCTCAACTCGGGGTGTAAGGACGTAGATCCGCCCGCCTCTCCCGACCGGTCCTTCTTCGGAGAAGTTGACAGCACTCTCTGAGGATCATGCGATGTAGACGGTCGACTGCCAGGGCGCCCGCGGTTCGGGCACTGGTTGGCGTAGTGCCCACGCTCGTTGCAGGAAAAACATCTAGGGGGAGGCCTTCGATAGTATCGATCGCCACCACGATCATAACCGCGATCAGTGCTGCGGCTATTCCCACGCTCCTCGCTACTTGATCTCGTCGCTCTCCTGTCATAATCCCTCTGGTCCGCCATCGCCAAACGCTCCGTCGTCACTCCAAAGTAGTCGAGACTAACACCTCGTATTCCAAAATACTCCACAATACTCCAAAGTACTCCAGGGTAACAGTAAACTCACGTTCACTAATCTCAGTAATTTCTCTCTGAGAAAGTTTACGTGTGCAATAGCATGTTGTTGAGTGCAAAGCAAATCAAAGCGTGTTGACGTCAAAAGACGAAAACAGATATGAATGCAAAGCACACACAAAGCATATGTCGGCGTCCAAAGATGCCAACAAAGTACACAAGTCAAACTCAATCCGAACTGTATCAAAATTGAAAAAATTGACACAAGTCAGGAATGGCGTCCTCGACGCCGAGTTTCGGCAACAGCCACGTTGCCTTCATCAGGGGGGTCTCCACCGTCATCTCCCTCAAGCCTCAACCATCGTTCCTCAAGCCCACTTCCGTACTGTACGCTACTAACACTCCGGACTGTCAGTAACATTCAGTTCCGTTAGTCCTGAAAAGAGGTCGACTGTCTGTACCTTTTCACTTTAGTACCTGACGACCGTAATCACGTTTCCCGAAAAGTGTCGAAAAACACGCCACTACAAACTGAAACCGGTACC